GGCTCTCATCCTGACTAAGCTGTCGGTGAAGTTTGGACCGCGTGGCAGTGGATGCTGCAGGCGACAGGTCGGGATTGCTCAGCTTCCTGAAGAGGAGAGGAGGGGGCACTGCAAACTCCTTCTGGAGAGACAGAGAAGGTGAAGAGAGAAAAGAAAACTCATTAAACTCTGTTCTACAATGTTCCAAATTATATTTCAACACAGTTTACAGCTGATGCTTCATCAAGGTAGGGCATCAAAACCGACAGCTGTAGGACATGTATATACTGTCACAAAACTCAGTAATGCCGCACCATGCAGGAAAATGTTTGAGAATACTTTAATGCAAGGAGGAAGGTGATCTAACACCAGGCACCAGGAGCCAACAGGTGCTCCCAGTGCAGGTAGCAGCGAAAGAGGCATTCAGCGAGGTCGATGCTATTAACTGACAGACAATCCTCCAGAAGAAGCTCTGCGCTGATTTATCATTCAGCTTGGCAGTGCAATTAAAAAAAAGGTGCTTCTGCATTTAGTCAACATACCTAACTTTCCTAATAGACACTGTAGAAAATACATTACATCCAACACACACACACACACACACACACACACACACACACAGCGTCTGTGTGGGGGGCTCTGGTTGGTTTTGGAAACACCACTGCCATGGAAACAAGGCTTGCCTGGACTCATTTCTCCTCTCGGCTGCCAGCGGACCAGTCCTTGACGAGACTTTTCCACAAACATCTGGGCGGCGCGTGTTAACCCACACCCACGTCCCTAATGGCTACCTGTACGCAAGATGCTTAATGACAGCTTCCATTAATCCTCACCAGCAAAACCAGGACCATCTGCTCCCCTCAAAGCCACTAAAACACAGTGATAAACACCCATAAACAAACACACACTCACGCATGTGGTGTAATCTTGTTAAACCTGAATCCATTAACTGAGGCTGGAGTAGATGAACTGCAACAAGCCCTAAGTGAACACTCAGTACTTCTGCATCACATTAACATATGAATCTAATGGATAAGTGCTGCCTCTCTTCATGTCAGAGCAGCTATGATCACAGCCTCATGCTTAGTGAGCCAGAAAACAGCCTCGTACTTCAGCTGGAGCCACGAAGGCCAGTGTTCACTGAGCAGAAGAGGTGGCGACGTGGGCAAATCCTCTCTCACGGTTTATGCTCTATACTGCAAAGTCAGAAAAACCTGTCAGAAAGCAGTTTATGGATGAAATAACCAGACAGAAGTGTGCATTTTACTTAATCTAGAAAATTTAACATGATTGGTCAATTCATTTTATGACAAAGACACAAAAAACAGTCTTGATCCAGAAAACATACATATACTGCATTCTCATTTAATCATGTGACCAGAGCACCCGTCCACCATCAGTCTAACTGTCATGTAATACTGTTGTTTGACAGGTGGACTTACTATGAGCCTGTGCAGCTGATGGCAAGATGCCTCTGGGGAGAAGAGAGTCACATTAATACCTGCTGAGAGCTGCAGTCTGGCTGCCTCCTGCAACTCCTGTTTTAATCAGCAGGTGGCAGACACGCGGTCATCTGCTGTGGGAGGGGGTCATTACACTGAGCTGCTTGTACACACTGAAAATGAAATGTACTAACTTGGAAAACAGCTAAGATATCTGTGTGTGTGTGTGTGTGTGTGTGTGTGTGTGTGTGTGTGTGTGTGCACTGACTGTGATGTATCGCAGCTGTCACCATACACACAGTCAGTGAATCAGCTTCAACACACACTGCTATCAACACACACTGCACTCCTCAGAGTATAAAAGCAGAGTGACACGCTTCCACATTACAACTTAAACCTTGTTCTCACCTAGCAGAACACACGTTAACACATAGATGTCTCCCCTGTAGGTCTACAAAGGCCAGTAAGAAGACAAACAAATTTACAGTGCTCAGTCCATCCTGCACCAGGTTATCTAAAAGCAAACACACCCGCATACTGAGTCTACAAGACAAACTCCACTGCACTCACATGGTCACATGAGGACAGGACTGTGTTGTATTTACACTGCAGTGCAATATCTGTGTGGGCTGATCCAGAGAGTTGCTACCAATTAAGGCAACTTGGAGTGACCCCGTTCTGATTCTCTGTTTATTCTTTGACACACCAGCTGCAGGAAAACACTGACACTGTTATAACGGCACAGTCAGTCATAACTTCAGCAACAGAACGAGCCACAGTGTGCCGAATGGTAAAGTGAGCAGAGACACTCTGGTGCTTTGCCTGCTGAGGTCTCTGACACCTGGCAGTATTAAAACTTGATGAGCTGCTAAGTGAGCGTGCATTAAGCCTCCCCCTGGTTGGTTACTGCTTCTTTGGCTGTCAAGCTTTGCACTGCAGCACAGCACTAGGGCTCCAAATCAAATCATGCTCATTATACATTAATCTGCTGGTTATTTTCTTAATAAAACATCAAAGAAATGGCATAAAAGTCCCATCACAACCTCCTAGATATGTGTTCAGAAAAAATGATTTATTAGAATAGTTGCACAGTAATTTTTGTTGACGGACTCTGAATCCATGATTTCAGACAGGTGTTTACTAAAACAGACGTTTCATTTGATGTGTAACTTTCACTGAAGTGACACCGTTTGCAGGCAGAATGTATCTGAAACAAGCTAACATTGGCTTCATAAGTTAGTTTGAGTGGCTCGAGTGATGTATAATATATGAAGCCAGAGTTTACTTACTACACCATGACAGAGGAGTGCGAGTGTGTTACTGCTGGTTAGGACACCCTCCGGAACAATCGTGATTTTAGTTAGCGAAGCAGCTCACAAAGACCAACAAGAGACATGCGCAGACACCAGGAGTGTTGTGCTTGTTAAGCTCTGCACAGCGTAACATCCTACATCAGTACATCATAATTTTGTACATGCCTATCTGTCAATGTGACTGCATATGGTTCAGACATGCTCTGTGCTGAAAGTGATGCATAAGCGTTACTACAGGTCCAACCTAGTAAGATTGCTGTCATGACTTTTACAGAAAAATGTCAAAGGTGCTCATTCAGACACGAAGCTGGCATGTTCGGATGCTGTCAGGTTATTGGAAAGGGGGATTCTGAGAGTGACTGAAGCTCAAAAAGCCAAAAGAAGACTAGAACAGTCCTAAACTGGTTCAGAAAGAGGAAACTCTGAGACTTTGGAGAGAAAGAACCAGAACCAAGATGAAGACTGTCTCACTGATGAGCCCTCAAAGTGCTCACCAGGGAATAAGTCATTTGTGACCCAGCTTTTCTCTGATGCAAAAATATCTCAGGTTAAATAAACTTTCACAAAGGGATTTGTTAGAGTGATTTAAAAAACACCCCAAAACAAATGGCTGATGTATCATTCTCTTCCCTCACACCAAAAGGGAAGTAAAACCAGGTTCTCATATTCCTCTTCTCCTTTCCTCACTTCCTTGTTGAGCTTTCCCCAGACTTGTGTCCCTGCTGCCTCAAATCTGGGCCAACATTCATCTTGTTTCATGTCTCCAGAAGAGCTGCAGCAAATTTCCATGTAACATGCATATCAACAGTCTCTCAGCCCATGGGGCTAAAACCGAGCTCCCGGCTGAGCTCGGTGTCGTGGCGCTCTCTCACAAAGACACACAGAGAATACTAAGATAGCGTATTTAATGGAGGCAGATCACGTCAGCGGTCATTTGGTGCATCACGCAGGCTAAACAAGTTGAATTCTCCCAGCGACAGATCTACTCATCAGCAGAGCAGCCCTCCAGCAGTTTCATAAGTTCACTGCAGCTGCGGCTAGCGCAGCAAAAACAGAGCCTCAATCAAACTTGTGTATTGCTTTTCTGGCAGCAAAAGACGGCAAATGATCCAAAACATGATTTAAAACCTCTCCTGGCTCTGATGATTCAATGAGCTCATGGCTGAAGAAGTGCTGCATAATCCCTGCTGGCTGATAAGTGAATTTTAATGCAGCAAATGCAAAAGCAGAGCTCGGGGAGGTAGAGCAGATGATTAGGCATTACACTGCAAAGTGCACCACGTGGAAGGAAGGCCTCAACAGTCAGTCTGTTGTTGGAGTCGTCTTTGTTAGCTGGTTTAGTAAGGAAACAGCACCATGTCAGAGGACAGGTGTGTGGGCTGGCCACTGGAGAAGGGTGTTGCCTCAGCATCTGAGCAGAGCACAGTGAAGGCAGAGTTCAACATTCAGCAATGGGGTTTTTTATTTGGAAGTTTCAGATGTTGTTCTTGCTGCCAGATGAGTTTACTGTAAAGATGTGATAACAAATCCATGTGTGAACAGAGGAAATCAGAGAAATTCCACAGAAATCTGTCAATGCTGAGCCTTAGTACTAGGACGTTCCTGGAGCTCTGCTCTGTCTGCTTTATTACAGCCTGGATCTCAGTTCTGCAGGCTAGGCTGTCATTTCACTCTGCACTGCACTCAGCAATAATAACTCCAAGTTCTAGAAAAGTTGTGAAATTACTAAAATGAAGTGCAAGACATATGGGTAAGTTACCCAGTCGGCCCTGGGTAGCTATAATTATCTTGAAGAAATAACGAGTGTGAACAGGACAATTATTACTCTAAACTGTCCAGAGTTTATAATGATGATCTCTTTTTACTGGCCAGGTACATTACACACACAGGGAATTTGTCTCCGGAGACATAACCAAGGAAGCCATCTGCGGTGCCAGCTCACATACACATACACACACACACACACACACACACACATACACACACACACACACACACACACACACACACACACACACACACACAGCGCGCGATCGGGAGCAACTTGGGGTTCAGCGTCTTGCCCAGGGACACTTGGACATGTGGACTGGGGAGAACAGGAATCAAACCACTCACCTTACAGTTAAGGGACAACTGCTCTACCTCACCACAGCCACCTCCCTTGAAAAGGGGGTTTATTTGTCTCTGGTAAAATAATAAAATATGACTTCATTATTAGTGCAGACCATTTTCAGAGGATTGAATGTGCTGTCAACTTGATTTCCTACTTCCCAAACAGCTACTGGCCTCCATCGTCTTCAGTGTGCCAAGACAATCTGGCTGCAGAGGCTCCGAAGGAAAACCACAGGGAACCATCTGTGCACATGACTTTATTGTCAGTCACTGAC